GAGAGGGGAGAGCCGTCTTCACCTTTCTGCTGTCACAGGAGTTCTAGCACAGTGCTAGAACTCATGTCCTGGAGGTGACGGGTTCAATAAAGAGAACCTGTCACCTCCAATTGCTATCACACCAGAGATTGTTGGCTCCTGTGTGATAGCAATAAAGTTAAGTGGGAAAAAAATTTATTAAAAAAATAAGAAATAATTAAATAAAAAAATAAAAAGGTGATTAAAAAGTAAAAAATAATAAGAAACAAATTATTTAAAAAATAAGAAAATAATTATAAAAGATAAAATTATAATATAACAAATTATAAAAAATAAACGATAAGATAAATAAAAATGTAAAAAAGTAAAACAAAATAAAGTGATAAAGTAAAAAGAAACAAAAAAATTATAACTAACCCTGCTGGCCTGCCATCTGGTTGCCATTCTCCATTGATCGGGAGGGGGGGCGCATTGCGGAACCTGGCCTTGGGGCAGCAGGGAGAGTAAATCCGGCCCTGAGGACAGCCCTGTATGGATGCATGTTTACTGCTCTGAGAGGAGTGCATCCTTTTTCTGCACTTTTCTACTTAAGGCTTTTTTAGCATCTTTCCCTAAATGCTGCTCCCAGACACTGTGGCACCTAACAGCAGCTACCGGGATCAAGTTTCTTTTCAGCGGATCTTATCCTGGCCCTTCTTTAGGGAAGATGCAGGGCTGGCTTGTAATGTACTTAGAGAACTGGATCCTGGTTGGGCACTCACCTTGGCACTTTGTGCAGTGTGTGTAGTGGCCACAGGGTGCTTAACAGTTTCCTGGACTGGTATGCTCATTGGTATAAAACTGCGCTGCTCCAACAGGTCAGACATTGCATTGTCTGCATGTGCATTCCTAAAGAAGAGGAAAAATGGGCTGCTTCCAGTTCTGTGGACTTGTCACCTGACATCTCTTCCAAGTTCCAAGGCACTATTTCTGTCCTTTTGGATGTGGTGCGTGATTGTTTACATTTAGAGCCACTTGGATCAGCCTTGCCGAAGGTCACTAGTCTGGGTTCTTTAAAAATGCTCAGACCTGAAATTACCTTTCTTGAACATGCGCTTTTATAGGCAGTGTTGTATAGTGACACCCCCGAAAACCTGTTTACTCCCGCTAAGTGGTTTGCCCAGCAATACCCTATTTTAGAAGGTTCTTCAAAAAATTGTCTCTTCCTGAACAAGATGTTAATAATTATTTTAAAGAATGTTCCTGTTAAGGACCAGGTGTACAAGAAGTTTGCCCACATAGACCCTGCTATGCAACTTGCTGTTGCCACCATGGCATGTCGGACCTTATTTTTATGTCAATCTATGGCTAGGGACCCTACTGCATAGATGGCCTTGCAGATAACCTAGATATCCTTTACTAGGGAATGCTTGTCCTGGGCCACCAATCCCACTAAATCCAGGAACAAGCCCTCTTTGTTTCACTAGTGGGGGGACGTCTGTCAACCTTTTCAGCCTCCAGGGTCTGGGACATTCCCAATGCCTGGGTCTGGAGCATTTTAACCAATCGTACAAGCTTTAGTTACCCTCCCTGCCTATTCCTCGCTTTCAGTTGTGACGCTTTCCAAAATCAACGCAAAGACCGCTGATCTTATCACTGTTCTTGGTGAACTCATTGCTTAGGGAATCATGGTCCCTGTGCGGAAAGGCAGAAAAATTCCAGGGGTTTTACTCAAACTGGTTCGCTGTCCCCAGAGGGTCCATCCTATTCTCAATCTTACTATCCACAATGGGTTCATGCAAGTTCAAAAGTTCCATATAGACTCTACCTGCTCTGTTATCACCTCCCTTCACCTGGGAACTTTCTTGACTTGTAAAGAGTCCTTTTTGGTTAGTAGGTTATCTGGTTATCCTCAAGGATAAGATGTACTGAAACCTAAGGACTCTTTTCTTCCTAAGGTGGACTCTGCCTTCCACCTTAACCAGGACATTGTTTTACAATCCTTTAGGTCCTGCACCAAAACATCCTATAGAAGTTTTTCTCTACTGTTTAGACTGTTCGAGTTTAGCTCTCTGCTAGAGCTTTCAACCACATATCTGACTGCCTCTTCATCATTCCCGAGGGTCCCTGTATGGGGCCACTTTTAATTCTACTATCACTGATTTGGTGAACAATCAATCAGGTGTAAAAGTTGAAGTGTAAAGTCCCCCCCCCC